AAGGACACCGTCTTCCGATGAAGAGCTTTTCCGAAATAGAGGATCTGTTCCCTCCCCTCTGTACTGGGATAAGAGTTCGACACGATGAGAATTCCCTTCATTCCGAAGGCTGATACATTGTATGGCCAAAGGCTTGAGGAGACCTGACTAGGACCCCTATAGGAGCATGGTGGGTATTCCATTCCAGACCTGACTAGGACACCTATAGGAGCATGTTGGGTATTCCATTCCAGACCTGACTAGGGCACCTATAGGAGCATGTTGGGTATTCCATTCCAGTCCTGACTAGGACCCCTATAGGAGCATGGTGGGTATTCCATTCCAGACCTGACTAGGACACCTATAGGAGCATGTTGGGTATTCCATTCCAGTCCTGACTAGGACACCTATAGGAGCATGTTGGGTATTCCATTCCAGTCCTGACTAGGACACCTATAGGAGCTTGTTGGGTATTCCATTCCAGACCTGACTAGGTCACCTATAGGAGCATGTTGGGTGTTCCATTCCAGACCTGACTAGGACCCCTATAGGAGCATGTTGGGTATTCCATTCCAGACCTGACTAGGACCCCTATAGGAGCATGTTGGGTATTCCATTCCAGACCTGACTAGGACACCTATAGGAGCATGTTGGGTATTCCATTCCAGACCTGACTAGGACACCTATAGGAGCATGTTGGGTATTCCATTCTAGACCTGACTAGGACACCTATAGAAGCATGTTGGGTATTCCATTCCAGTCCTGACTAGGACACCTATAGGAGCATGTTGGGTATTCCATTCTAGACCTGACTAGGACACCTATAGAAGCATGTTGGGTATTCCATTCCAGTCCTGACTAGGACACCTATAGGAGCATGTTGGGTATTCCATTCCAGACCTGACTAGGACACCTATAGAAGCATGTTGGGTATTCCATTCCAGTCCTGACTAGGACACCTATAGGAGCATGTTGGGTATTCCATTCCAGTCCTGACTAGGACACCTATAGGAGCATGTTGGGTATTCGATTCCTGACCTGACTAGGACACCTATAGGAGCATGTTGGGTATTCGATTCCAGACCTGACTATGACACCTATAGGAGCATGTTGGGTATTCCATTCCAGTCCTAACTAGGACACCTATAGGAGCATGTTGGGTATTCCATTCAAGTGGACGTTAATATGGAATTGGCTTCCTGTTTGCAGCTAGAAGGGCTTCCACTCTTCTGGGGAAAGCTTTCCATAAGAATTTGCAGTGTGGCTGTCCAGATTTATACCCCATGTGGGCCTCCATGGGGGTTCTTTTTGTGGGTATGACCATGAACAACAAGAACATAGCTCATGTAACATTTAAAGTTCTTCTAAATCAATGGGCAGCACAAGTCGGGTACCCAGAGAGTGATGCACCATCCACATACATATATGTTGCCAAAGCTATGTTGCTTTACAGAGGTGGCCCAGGGGAAGGATCATGGGCTAGAACAAATATACACTACATGGTCAAACATCTGTGGACACCTGACCATCACACCTACATAAAATTGTTGAATATCCGATGCCAAAACCATGGTCATTAATTCGAAGTTGCCCCACCTTTCCATCTAGGAAGGCTTTTTACAAGATTTTGGCGGGTGTCTGTCAAAATTTGTGAGCTCAGGTACCAATGTTGAATGAGAACACCTGGCTCACAGTGGGCATTCCAATTCATCCCAAAGATGTTCAGTAGCTCTGTGCAGGGAACTCAAGTTCCTCCACACCATACTGATCATATCATGTCTTTATGGAGCCGGGTCCACACTTCTGGGAAGGCTTTCCACAAAATTTCTGAGTGGGTTTGTAGGAACTTGTGTCCTATCAGTCAAAAAAAGAAATAGTGAGGTCATGTACTGATGTTGGATGAGAAGACATGGCTCACTATTTGGGTTCCAATTCAACCCAAAGGTGTTCAGCTGGGTTGAGGTCAGAGCTCCGTGCAGGAAACTCAAGTTCCTCCACGCCATACTCACCATATCATGTCTTTATGGAGCTGGGTCCACACTTCTAGAAAAGCTTTCCTCAAAATTGTGGAGTGTGTCTGTGGGAATTTGTGTCCTTTCAGCAACAAAAATATTGTGAGGTCATGTACTAATGTTGGATGAGGAGACTTGGCTCGCCATGTGGGTTCCAATTCAACCCAAAGGTGTTCAGTAGGGTTGAGGTCAGAGCTCCGTGCAGGAAATTCAAGTTCCTCCACACCAAACTCATCATATCATGTCTTTATGAAGCTGGGTCTGGGAAGGCTTTCCACAAAATTTTGAGTGTTTTTGTGGGAATTTGTGTCCTATCAGCCAAAAAATAATCGTGAGGTCATGAACTAATGTTGGTTGGGAAGACTTGGTTCACCATTAGGGTTCCAATTCGTCCCAAAGGTGTTCAGTAGGGTTAAGGTCAGAGCTCCGTGCAGGAAACTCAAGTTCCTCCACACCAAACTCATCATACCATGTCTTTATGAAGCTGGGTCCACACTTCTGGGAAGGCTATCCACAAAATGTTGGAGTGTTTTTGTGAGAATTTGTGTCCTATTAGCCAAAAAATAATTGTGAGGTCATGAACTAATGTTGGTTGAGAAGACTTGGTTCACCATTGGGTTCCAATTCATCCGAAAGGTTTTCAGTAGGGTTAAGGTCAAGGCTCTGTGCAGGAAACACAAGTTCCTCCACACCAAACTCATCAAACTTTGCTTTTATGGAGCTGTGTCCACACTTCTGGGAAGGCTTATCACAAAATTTTGGAGTGTGTTTGTGAGAATTTGTGTCCTATCAACCAAAAAAAAATTTGTAAGGTCATGTACTAATGTTGGTTGAGAAGACTTGGTTCACCATTGCAGTTCCAATTCATCCCAAAGGTGTTTAGTAGGGTTGAGATCATGGCTCTGTGTAGAACACTCGAGTTCCTCCAAACCAAATTCACCAAAGCCATGTCTTTATGGAGTTGGCTTTGTGCAGTCATGCTGGAAGAAAAAGGGCCTCTCCCAAACTGGTATCACAAGGTTGGAAGTTCACAATTGTCGTTAGAAACTCTGATATTTGGATTGGCTTGGCTCTACTGTACATACCTTTGACCACATAGTATATATTGGTTTCCAGTTCCATAGGAAGGTTAACCACTGATCAGGTGGGGGCTATACAAGCCAACAAAAATTTGGCAATTGTTTCCTTCCTATTTTTATTTTGTTGACTTTTCATTTATTTACTTTTTTATGATTTTCCACCCAGTTTATGAGAAGCGAGAAAGCAACATAGTGTGGAAAAAGAAAAAGATTGGCACTTTGAGAAATACTGAATATTTGAGTAGCTTCCTACCTTGACTACGGCGGTGAAAGCTGGTGAAAAACTAATTGAGCCTCTTTTTTTTTAATAGCTGAAATCCATTTATAAAAATGGATTTTCTCGTAGCCAGGAAAAACATCTACGTTTCGGGGAAACCAGAAATAGCTTTTTATAAATAAGCAGAGAAAAGGTAAAAAAAAAGATGCGTGTCATACTGTTATCCCATCAGAGGGGAGTCACCGACCCTCATCAATAGGTATAATCTGTAAAAAAAACCAAAAAAAAAAAACGGAGATCCTGTGATTGGTTGACCCTGTGCCCTATTAAATAATGCGGTCTCCCTGTTTCTGACCAATCGTTCCCGTCTAATCTTCTTGTAAACATCAAAGCCTGCTGCCAATGATTCCCGTAAACTCCCGTCTCCTTGTGGTCTCATCCCGATGTCCGTGCCGGGATAGCTGGTTTCCATGTGCTTCTGATCGCTAGCCCCTGTGGGAGGGGGGCTCAGCCAGGTTCTGTGAAGGAAGAGCTGGAAAAAGGTGGAGGGGAAGAGAGAAAGAGGAGGACTATGGGTAATGAGAAGAAGAACAGAAGTGGGTGCGGGTAATGGGTTGGTTTTTTTTTTTTGCGGAGGGTTGGTGGTGGTGAGGGGTTTGTACACATAAAGAATGAAGGGCTTGCTTGGGGTAATCAAGAGTGAGAAGAAGCAAGAGAACGTGATGGCAATGGTCGTAATATACGAAACGTAATGTAGGAAAATAGAGAGCAAAGATCCGTCGTATAAGACACTCCCTCACTATTATTTTGGCACACATACAGTTCCCTTCCCCCCTTTGATCTACCCAGAGGGGTCATGGGGACTATGGCAGTGGAGAGGCGATACACCTATTACCATTTGAGCACCCCCTTTGAGATAGGAGCAGGCCCACCTTGCCGAAGAGGTGGAAGGGGATCATTGGCACTGTGTTTTGTATTTTTTTTTTTAAGGGGGAGGGGCTTAATTTTGGCCTCTCATGCATTCACCCCCTCCCCTGTACATTCACCCCCTGCCCCCTTTCTCCATTGCAGGGGATAGCTCTTATGTTCCCCTCTTCTGGTGACGGCAATTTGTTTCGGCTGTTCGAGAGCAGTTGAGTCCTTGAAGGTTCAGTGCATTGAACGCACCAGACGCAGGCTATCTGTGTGAGGCCCGCGCCTGGCGTAACATCCCCCATCCATTGGATATTGTCCGTGAATAAAAATAAAGCAGGTGTACAAGTTGAGTCAGTTGGAGGCATCGGCCTAGTCACATAGGCCTCTCTTCCTCCTTTAGCAACTCTCCCCAACAGGGGGGTATAATTTATTGGATCAAAATTTCATATCTTTCCCTACATCCCATTAAATAACTGCCCCATCGTGGTTTTTATTATTTTTTTTTTCGACCCTGTTTCCCCCATGACATAGGCAGAAGTTAAAGTCCAGGTGTCACAGTCCTGAATGTTGATCTTGGGAGCAGTTTCTAAAGCCTGAGGAGGAGAAGGGGCATGGGGAGACTGGGTAGTTCCTTTCTGGCCCCCTCATAATAAACAAGTTATTTCATCTACCCCCATCCCCTGCCATAAGGCAAAATCCAGCTCAGGCTTGGTAGGCCCAGATAGCCAATGTTGCTGTTCGCGAGAGGAAGGGGGAGACGGGGCAACGTATGGGTAGAGGGAGAGATGCCTGGTACCACTATACCCTTGTGGTTGAATGCGGGTGGGGCAGGGTATTGTTGTGAGCAGTGGTGGGGAATGTATTGAAGGGATGTAAAGAAGGTAGGCCCGAGATGGTGCTTGGAACCATGACAGAGGCAGGAGGTGGAGGTGGCGGTGGAAGTGGAGCGTCCTCAGGGGCCCTTCTTAACGCCAGTGTATAGTCGGGAGGGCAAGCTGGGCGCAGTATGTCATGTGGCCTTAGAGGCTCAAGATCAGGAGCTCCTCCAGCCCTCTTGATCTGAAGGGACATCAGTTCTTCTTCGGGTCCATGATGTGCCAGGTCATTGCCAGGAGCTCCTCCTCGCCCAGGACTGTGTCGCCTTTGTCGGAGTTCGTGACGCCGATCTCTCTTGTAATAAAGAGCAGCAAAGGCCAGGATGTTGAGGAAGAGGAGAGAAGCTCCAACTGCTACGGTCACACTCAACTCAGTTGAATAGTCACGGGAGTCCCCAGGGAAAGGGGGGTATCGAGGTCGTTCCACTGGTCCACCAGTCGAATCATAGTCTTCAGGTGGAAGTGTGGCATGCGGTCGCCGAGTGGTACTGCCGCCGGTTATCCTGGTACCAGGTGGCCAGCGGGTGCTGTGGGGCGGTAATTTCGTGGTGGTTGAAGGATGCTGCACTGTGTTCAGATTGTGAAGATGAGGGACTAATTCCAACCAGAAGGCCACCTTGTTGGCACGATAATTGTCCCGCACTCGAGGCTTTAGGCCAATGTGTAGGTACTGCTTCTCTTTAGGGTTAAACTTTGTCCATACCACCTCCTCAAAGCGGTTGGGTTTTGTGTGGATGAACTTGGTGTCCTGAGGGACCGGATGGTTTGGATCCCTGAAAATAAAGAAAAGACATGAGATGAGAAAGATTTTTTAGATCATACCTCAGAGGATGACAATTGCTTCATAGTTTTAAAGTGTACAGTATGTATAACCTAAAGCTTCACTTTTTGGGGTTTTGGATGGCATGAAGGAGGATTAGAACCCACATCAGGTTTTTATTGATTTCTGTGAACCCACTGGTGAGAATCACACTCTTTGTCCTGGTGACTATTGCCACCAAGACAAAAGGTGGTGGGAATTCCAAAACTTCACAGTTGACACCAGGAGAAGAGGTGAAGGTAAATCTTCCAATGGTCCAGTGGTCTAGTGACCGCTGTCTCAAGGAGGAATTTCCCTCAACTTGCAAAGAATTATTCTCACTTCCCGTGTTGTCTTCAGGACAGGAAGTGAAGGGAAATCTCTCCAACTGGACACAGACAAAAACACCCTATCCAAAACAAATATTTTGGCTTTACAGCCTTACATACACTTTAATTACCTTCTCAATGCATGGGTCACACGATGCTGAGCAGCAGCACCAGAATTAAAACATGCCAGTTTGTGGGGGTGTACTACAAGCAGGCTGTCAGCTCCCACTTGTGTTTTCACTGCAATTTCCTGGACTACTTGTTCCATCAACACTTGTAGCTAAGTAGGAGGTGGTATCAAAAAATGTTGTAACACGCCAACAGAAGGCAGCACGAGGCTGCATGCACAGTCATGGGGAGCACCGACCTTCATAAGTCAGTGTGCCAAAATAAATCGTCCTGTGTACATCGGGAGCTGTGCAACTGGTGCTATTCTGACCATGTGCATTACCATGCTTGCTATTTCATCATGGACAGCAAGTTAGAACAAAGAGCAAACGTGAAAATCTCTGTGTGAAGCCCTTACACCCAAGTTTTGTCTCCGGTAATGATCCTCGATCATTATAAAGGAGGGGTCATCAGCAACACGCTGACGGAGTTCCCGGCAGACTTTGATGCGGTGTTCCTTCTCCTGGGTTAGCTACCCGGGGATGAACTTGGCAGCCACACGTTGCATGTTCAAATCGCATGGGAGGATTCTCTGGACTATTCCGTATGACACACCAACAATGGCAGCCATGTTCATTGTTCTCCGACGATCATCATGCACAAGTTGTCGAATGGTTTCCACATTTTTGGGGGTTGAGCTCGTTGAAGGTCTTCCTGATCTCTTGTCATCCTCCAGTGATGTTCTTCCTCTCTTGAAGCATGCGTGCCACTCAGAACATCTCGACTCATTGCAGCATCGCCATAAACTTGCCGAATCAAGTCAAACATCTCTGTGGCAGATTTGCCCAGTTTCATGCAGAATTTCACGTGTTCATGATGAAATAGCAGACGTGGTAATGCACGCTGTCAGAAAAGCACCAGTTGTACAGCTCCCGCTATAAACAGGATGATGTCTTTTGGCACACTGACTTATGAAGGTTGGTGCTCCCTGTGACTGTGCATGCAGCCTTGTGCTGCCATCTGTTGGTGTGTTACAAAACTCTCAAAACTTTTTGATACCACCTCGTACCTATGTGGACCTGCACGGGCATTCCCTTTGAGGATGTAACCATGACCAACATCAGCACTGCCCATGTAACTGCTCAAAGTCTTGTAAATCAAAGGGCAGCACAGCCAAAATGCCCAGAGTATGTTGTGCTCAGGGACGGACTTGACCATTTGGAAACTCGGGATCAGTATGGGAACCCCATGAGATGCCCCTGGTACCTTTTTCATAGGCTTTTTTGAGTTTGGGCAAGGACACAGGGGCCCCATGATCCCCTATTGCCCGGGGGGCCCCATGAGTTGTCAGTCCGCCCCTGGTTGTGCTAAACATATACTGTATTTATGGCCAAAGCTTGGTTAATTTACACAGGCAGCCATGGGGGAGGATCAGGGGCTAGACCAAAAATACACTACATGGCCCAATGTTTGTGGACACCTGACCATCAACACCTATATGAGCTTGTTGGACTTATTTCAAACCTACGGCTATTGATATCTAACATTCTCCACCCCTCTAGGAGGTTTATAAGGAGGAACATATCTTCATTAGTACATGCTGGTTTCAGTTGTTGGGTCGCCATTTTGTCCTGAACTTTGAAGATCTCTACAAAAAAAAGGTCACTTACAAGTTATGCTACCTAGAAAACCGAAAAGGCTTTCCTCATGTATATCACCATTCTGCTGAAAGCACCTCGAGTCTAAGGCCGTCCTTCTCAACCAGACTATCATGGAAGTCAAGGCTTCCTCCAGAGGTTTGCAAGCAGGTAGAAATGTGGTCAGTGAGACAGCTGCTGCCCCAGCCGGGCGGGAAACAGTTAAAGTGTTACAAAACCCCAGGCCCCACATTCACTATATCCGCTCTCCCTGGGCCCCGCATTCACTATATCCGCTCTCCCCGGACCCCGCATTCACTATATCCACTCTCCCCGGACCCCCGCATTCACTATATCCGCTCTCCCCCCAGACCCCGCATTCACTATATCCGCTCTCCCCAGACCCCGCATTCAGTATATCCACTCTCCCCGGACCCCGCATTCAGTATATCCGCTCTCCCCCGGACCCCGCATTCAGTATATCCGCTCTCCCCAGACCCCGCATTCCCGCATTCAGTATATCCAATCTCCCCGGACCCCGCATTCACTATATCCGCTATCCCCGGACCCCGCATTCACTATATCCGCTCTCCCCGGACCCTGCATTCACTATATCTGGTCTCCCCGGACCCCGCATTCACTATATCTGGTCTCCCCGGACCCCCCATTCACTATATCCGCTCTCCCCGGACCCTGCATTCACTATATCTGGTCTCCCCGGACCCCGCATTCACTATATCTCGTCTCCCCGGACCCCGCATTCACTATATCCGCTCTCCCCGGACCCTGCATTCACTATATCTGGTCTCCCCGGACCCCGCATTCACTATATCTGGTCTCCCACAGTACACTCAACATGAAAATGCAATTATTTTAGTAAATATAAACTGCTAAATACCTTTTCTCATCAGCAGTATATTGCAGTTTTGTGACTTCTATTAGTGTCTGCGCACTGGTTAAAACTTGTAGGAGGAGTTTTCATGCTCCTATGACTGTCCTATGAGGCTGCATAACCCCTGACCCTCTGTTTGGACAGTGCTGATTGTCCCTGTGCTGATCACATGCACCCTCCCTCCCCCTCAAAAAAAAAAAACTCTGGCAATACACACCAAACTGAGCATGTGCAGAGTGCCTCCTAGGGCTCTGTACTATCAGCAGATTGATTGGGGTACTATAGAAGAGGAGGAGGGTCAGAGAAAACAGGATCAAATAGCCTTTTTACACAATGCAGAGGATGAACTCCTTAGGTTCCACAGTGAGTATAACAAGCATGCTTTCCTGCATCTACAGACTGATTGTAGTGTTGGGGGCTCAGTAACACTTTAACTTGTTTCCTGCACTTTCTACTGAGCTTTGATTGTATCCCTGTTCTGATAATACAAGGGTGACGGGCTCTGCTCAGCCATGGTAAGAGACACAGACAAGACACAGTATGTAATCTCCACAGCGGTGTGCCTACAGGGGTCCCAGGGGTCGCAATTGTGACCTGGCCCCATGCTGCAGGGGGCCCATGCACCTCCCGTACTCCTGGATAGGAGCAGCGGTGGGGGCGACTGCATATAGAGGAAGCAATCTCTCCTGTAGTCGCCAAATGCCTGCAGAAGGGAGAGCAGGAGAAGCGGACATTCAGCAGCTGCAGGAGGGAGAGCAGGAGAAGCGGACATTCAGCAGCTGCAGGAGGGAGAGCAGGAGAAGCGGACATTCAGCAGCTGCAGGAGGGAGAGCAGGAGAAGTGGACATTCAGCAGCTGCAGGAGGGAGAGCAGGAGAAGCGGACATTCAGCAGCTGCAGGAGGGAGAGCAGGAGAAGCGGACATTCAGCAGCTGCAGGAGGAAAATGGAAAGATTGGTTCCACTATATGTAGCCACTCCCACTTCCTGCTCTCCAGCCACCCTGTGCTTTTTCCCTCCTCACCCCCAGCAGCACTGCTGGGTTCTCCGTCCCTCCTCCTGCCGGATCCTGCAAGGGATGTGTCAGGAAGTGTCATTTACCGGCCACTTTCTTTCATGAATGTCAATGATCCGACCCGTAAACTCTGTACTCCTGTCTATTCATTCAGTGCTGCTGAGACTGCAGAGATGGAGATTGGGGGCCGTGTCCCAAAGGTGAAACATCAGAGGTCTGTTTAGACCCCTGATATCTGACCAAAGCCCCCCCCCCCCCCAACATGGCTCCTAAAAAAATAAAAAAATAGTAAAAATATTGTACAAAAAAAGGTTACAAAAATAATTAAAAAGTAACCAAAAAAAAAAAACCTACTGACACCAGTGGTGGAAGTACCAGAGTCACTTGCGACCGTGGCCTGGTGTTCCGCCACTGGGCTGAAAGGGAAGGACCCTGTCCAGGGGTCAGGGGGGCCCTTCATGCACCGGGGCCCTGAAGGTACTAGTTACACCACTCCACAAAGCGCAGCCACTCCACAAAGCAGCCACTCCACAAAGCGCAGAGTCACCTGGTCCTGGGCATTGGCAAATATGAACACCGGAGAGTCCAGAGGAAGGAGAAGAGTGAGAGATAGCAAAAGGCCCCAAGTGCACCTAGAGGTTGCTAGGGGTTCCTTGAGCAATGAGGAACTTCCACCACTCAGACGCGTACCCCTTGACACCAACAACCCTTTTAGCCCTTTGTAAGGGTGGGATTCTTCCCAATGACCATCACACTAATGTACCGTGAGCTGCGGAGTCCAGAAGGGTCTTTCAACGGTTCCTCTGTGTTAAAAAAGATTGAGAAAGACTCTTCTAAGATGTGCTTAGCCCTTCTTTGATACATTACGCACAGATAATAAGCAGGTACAACTGTCTGCACAATATTTCATATTTAGACGTAGCTTGGCAGCTTCACACGTTGCAGCGTTTCCCAGATCTTGCCTAGGCTGTACGCCACCATCACAATCATTGCGG